AAGTCCCATCAATGCTAACATGCTTGCCAAATAATTCTTTACTTACTTATCAAGGGATCAACAATCATATTTTTTGATGGTAAATAACTCCACTTTTTTCAACAATCTTCTATGCATCTCAATGTGTTTACCTCTCAAGCTACTTGCTTCAATCCAAATCACTTTTATTGTTGTTTGATTATGGTGTTCCATCATATGTGACAATTATAATCCTTAGTATTTGTCACGTCTTTCAGGCTTTGACCAATAATTAACTAAACAAAGTTTTCTAACTTTGACTAACTTAATTTCGTACCTGAATATCATATTCGAATATGTGATACATAATGTGATTTTCATTCAAACTTTTATGTTCTACGCACTGATTATGGTATTTCATCATTTGAAACATTATGATCCTTAGTATTTATCACTTTTTTAAGATTTTTAGTCATTACATTAACTAAATAGAATTTTTTAACTTTAACAAACCTTAATTTTGTACCCGTATCCAATTATCTTAGGGTGAATGTAAGTGTGGTGGCAAAAAATAAGGTTTGGATTCAAAAAATGATTTGATTTTTGATTAGAATGGGTCATAATCATCATATAAATTGAATAAACACTTGTTTTTTTTTATTTTATTTTATTAAATTAAATGAAATAAAGGCATGCTACCATATTTTGAATTATGAAATTGCTATTCTATCATTTGTTATTATAACAGATTATCATGCATATTTAATGTGAATGGAGGGAAGACATGTGAGCCACACGAATTATAAAACTATATTAATAACCTCAAGGGTAATAGAAATTAGTTGTAAATTCAAATGTTTCGAGTTTGAATTTTGGCAATTCCTTATTTAACCCTTAAAATAAGACCAGACCAACCATTTTTTTCGCTCTCATACGAAATTAATATATTATGATTTTAATTAATTAAAAAATTTGAATTTAAAGTGAACATAGAAACAATGAGAGACCCGTGGTTTGCAGTGTTTGCAATTGTGTACGCGTCCTCCCTTTGTCAGCATCTGTATGAAGTCTTCTCTAGTGGTGGTTCATTTTAACATGGAGGAATGAACATAGAATGTGGATGATGAAGGGGGTTACAGCATGTTTGTTCGGATGTTTTGATGTCTTGTTGAAGTCACTAGGCATAACAAAAGCAAATTTCAGGTTAACGAATAAAGCAGTTGAACAAGGAAAGCTCGAAAAGTACACCAAAGGAAAATTCGACTTCCAAGGGGCTGACATGTTCATGGTCCCCCTGAGATTATTAGTGACATTGAACTTGGTATGCTTTGTAGTTGGACTGAAAAGGGTGATGATTGAGATAGACTTTGAAGAGATGTTTGGACAGGTTTTCCTCTCCTCCCTCATTCTGTCTTTCAGCTATCCCATACTTGAAGACTTGATACCAAAAACAGTCAAATGAAAGCAGTGATCCATTGGAATTACTTTCCTTTGCTCTAAGGATTTGGAATTTGTTAAATTTCAATGGTCCATTGGTAACATTAGTCACAGTGAACATAGTTTAATTTGCTTTGTTGGTGGTGTAATATAAGAGTGCTGATCGAGCTTAACTGTTTTCTATTGGTTTTCCCATTGTTTTTCACTGTAGTTCTGTGTAGCCCTACTAGTGAATGGATGATACACTCAAACCTTTGAACTCTTTTGAGTTTTCCTAAGTTTTTTTTTTTTTTGGGTAAGTAAGATCTTTGTGTTTATACTTTCCTTAAAATTATGTTTGTCATGGGAAAACACAAAAGAAGTAACTTAAAAAAAAATGCCAACACTTGTTTCTCTCTGAAAATATCAGAATATCACTCACTGACTCAAAGAACTTTAATACAAAATAGTCGCATCGCTGCAAATAGTATTAGGTGATACAAACATAAAAGAAGAAGTCAAACTTGATGAGAGACAAATGTCATCTCGTGGTGTGATAGAATAGCTATTTCGGTGAGAATAACTCGATAATTCGGAGTTAACTTAGAGTTAACTCAGAAATATTTCGGACGACTCAATCCAATTGTGCGAGACTTGTGTCATTTGTTTGTAGTGTACTTTAGTCATGGTATAAACATATTGTAGAACATGGTATTACTGTTGAATGAAAAAGAAAACTAGGAGATGAAGTAATTATTCCAAAGTCAATGCATTGGAAGAAAATACATAATTTACCTGAAAAATTGTTAAAGTTGATCCACAAAAAACAAGTAAATCGTATCTCCTCTACATTCACCTTCTTTGGCAGAGGGGAGGTGTCAAGGCCTCATAAGTCTTGCTATACTCACTAAGACTCATAAGAGTTCAATATAAAATTTTGTAACTTCTACTATTTTTCCGATATGGGATTGAATTTTTCTAAACAATGTAATTTTTCTATATCTTAAAAGATACTTTTCTTATTGTTAAAAAAACTTTAAAAATAGCCAGCAATTGAACTCGAGAGAATAGTCGGCGTAAACCTCAACACTATGTAGAAAAAAAAAAAAGAGCTCTAAAAATATACTTTTTATTTTTAGGGTAAATTACACTTACACTCTAGAAACTATCACATTTTTTTCACTGGGCTCCCTCAACTATCAAATTTTTCACATTGCACTTTTAATTAACATTTTTGTTTCACATTGCTGTAATCGCAAACGTCTATTATCTTTTTGGACAAAAGTCGTTGATGTGTCGACATAAAGTAAAAAAAAATTAAACAGTTTAGAGGGCAAAATAGAATAATTTTTTGTTAAATTATAACAGATGTTAGTAAGTGGGGCAATATGAAACTAATGACATAATTGAGAATATAATGTGAGAAATTTGGTAGTTGAGAGGACAAAGCGAAAAAAGGTGATAGTTTAAGAGTGGAAGTGTAATGTATCTGGAGTGCTTGCAGGATTTTTTATTAAAATACTATTAACACAATGATTTGCATAATGTACCCAATTGTCCTGACTTGGATTTAATTAGAACTTAGTTGTCACCAAGTTTGGTTTCAACTTTGAAAATTATAGTGAAAACGATATCGATCGAAGACTAGTTATTGCAAATGGACACTTGTACTCTTACGATGTATTTGTTTTGTGGATAATTAAATGAATGTCTTCGATAAAGACAATCAAAATATATAAAGAAGAGCCATTAGTTACCCTAGTTCAAAGTAACGATCAATATTGATACGAGCAAGGCCAGCTCATATGTGAAACCATTTAGACGGTTACTCACGGCCTCATTTGGGATGAGGCTCCATTTTTTAAATAAGTACTCAAGTAGTTATAAATGTTTTAATATTTTCTTTTTATTTTGCTTTGTTTAAGTATTATCTTTTTTATTTGGTTACAGAATAAAAAGTCTCATCTTTTAAAATATCTAAGATAACTTGTATTTTAGATACTATTTTATATATTTTCTATTTCACAAATTAAACAATTCATTCCATCTATCAACTTATTACAAACCTTAATTAATTCAATTAATATTTTCATCACGAATTTATGATTCTCATATTTAATATTAACTTTCAAAATCATCTCGAAGTCAAATAAATAAATAAATAAAATACAAATCTATCAATCACATCTTCTTGATAGTCTCTCCCTCCGTATATCTCTCATTTTTTGTACACTTCAAAGATTTATTTTTTTGAACTCATATCTTTCTCAATTTAGGATCAATCATAACAATTTAGCATCGTTCTCAACACCTCTAAAGATTGTAACTAACTGCCCAAAAGGTTATAATTTGACCTTAGAAAGAGTACTTTGTAGTATTGATCTTAACTTTTTGGTTACAATTTCACCTAAGTACAAATTGTAATTTAATGCATAAAAGTTCTATTTTTTTTGTAGACACCATTTTTGATAACATACTCTCACCCATTAGCAATACTCAAATAAAAAGGCTAAATTAGTTATTTTATATCTTGAAAAAAATTAAATAAAATTCTAATTACATTACTAGTATTTTAATATTAAATTTTCAAAAAGCCCTGCCTAAATTTTCTCTTGGAACCCTCATTTTTATTAGGTCCGCCTTGGATACGAGTTGGTCAAGTTGGATGATTCGATACTTTTTAAGACGATACCGTTAGACGATACGTATAAACTTCAAGTCTCGCATGACTCGACCGAGCTGTTCGAGTTGTATCTTAGTCAATCTCGAATCGTTGAGTTATTATCAACGAATGTGTTGATACAGTTCCACGATGTTGTGATAAAATTTGAATTTCTCGTCATATTCAACATTTTTTTTAGATAGTATCTTTTAATACTATGTCATGGCGTCGTGATTGATAAATTTCAAAACTCTCTAAATCGATGATTGATATTACGACCATAAAGCATGTTTCTTATCTTTTACCAATTCAAAAGTTCGACTGAACAGTTTAAATGTAAACTAACTAATAATTTGGAAGACTAAAGCGACATAATTACAAGAATAAAAATCAAAGTGAAAGGAAAGATACGTTACGGACTAGACATTTGTGTTCTATTAATTTTTTATTCCACTTTCTTGAACAATTGTTACGTTAGGGCGAGTACCTAAAATAATGAATTTGTCTGACTTAATGATTTTATAATTGATATGATCTACTAGTATTATAAGGATGTTGAAGGTAATTAATGTTACTTGGTTCTAATTTAAAGAGATCTAATTCATTAATAATAAATTAAGTCATCTAATTTACACCCAAATTAGATCTAAACGAAAAATGTTATTTTGACTTAATTTAAGACCTAATAAAATATAATTGTGAGATCAAAAATGAGTTTAATCAAATATTAAAATTTATAATTAATTCAATGATTAAATTCAATTAGTTCTCTATTAATATGTAAGAGAGAGAGATAGTAAGACAGTAATTTGCTTTTGTCACTTGGAAAAGGTCAGAAAGGTAAGGCTATTTTTTGTATTAAACTATGCAACAATTAGGGCCATTTGATGCATTTAAAGGGCCTGCTTGGCCATCAATGTTAAGAAGACGAGACCCTTCTGGTTTGTGAAATCAAGGTCCAAAAATGGCTACTTTCTCTCTCCACACCTGCACAGTCAAGCAATCTCGTATGGTGACTAACAGACTCCACATGTTCTTCCACCTCACAGCCATATTAGCCCTACTCTACTACAGATTCTCTCACCTCTTTCATGGCGATGTGCCAGTTTTTGCATGGGGCCTTATTACCATTTCTGAGCTAATCTTCACTTTCCTATGGCTCCTCACACAACCATTCCGGTGGCGACCAGTAGTTTGGTCGGTTGACCCGGAAAAGCTCCCCAGCCACGAGGATTTTCCAGCGATAGACGTGCTTATATGCACCGCCGACCCTCAGAAGGAACCAGTGATCGAGGTGATGAATACAGTATTGTCAGCCATGGCGCTCGACTACCCGCCGGAAAAGATGGCGGTGTATCTTTCCGACGACGGCGGTGCTGCCGTGACACTGTATGCCATGAAAGAAACATGTTCCTTCGCAAGGGTTTGGCTTCCATTTTGTAGAAAATATGGAATCAAGACTAGGTCGCCTGAAGCATATTTTTCATCATTTGGTGACGATGATCGTCTTCTTCGGAGCGATGATTTCAATAGAGAGGAAGAAAAGATCAAGGTAAAAAGAATTTATGAATTTATTTGATCGGCCGGCAAGGTCCACCTAACTTATTTTGAATTAGTTTAATGAGAAAGTCCCAAAATGTTACAACTTAAAAAAAAAATGACATTTTAACGTTTTATGATTGATCATATTGTAATGTTATAATTTAATAGGCTGTAATGTTATAATTTAATAGGCTATTCGTCAAATTTATCGAGGGAATATTTTAGCGGCATCCTTTCTAATTTACTATATCTTCAAAAATATTTTCTTTATTATTTAAAACATTATTTACACCCATTTTAGTTTATAATTAAATCACAACGTATTATAATTCGAGTCGATTTGAGTTCAACCTGAGTTGTTAACGCTGATTAAAATTCAATTCGAGTCAATTAAAATTTATATTTTTTTACTTATTAAAATCTGTGTTAATTAAATTTTGATTCAAGTTGATTAAAATTCATTTTTTACGTATTAAAATTTGAGTCAATTAAAATTTATATTTTTTTATATATCAAAAATTAAGGCGATTAAAATTCAATGCAATTTAATTAAAGTTTGATTCAAGTTGATTAAAAACGCATTTTATTCGGCTCGAATTGACATTTTGGTTCACCCGAATTTTAATACAAAGAAAAAATTAAAAAATAGAGGAGTTTCATTGAAGATATGTCTAATTTAGAGGGGGTGTGTATAAAGTTTTTTCTAAAATATTGAGGGCAATTTAGTAAAGTGTTGTTATAGTTAAAGTCTTTAATTTAATAGGGGTGTCAATGAAGATTTAAAAATTAGAGGAGATTTATTTAAAGATATGATAAACTAGAGGATATGTAACTGAAAATTTTCCCTTCTTATGGACATCAGTTGTTGTCCTAAACAATTTGTTTTTTTTTAGTAAACTAATTACTACCAAAAAATTGTGATTGTATATAATAACTGACAAATAATCTAAAATTCACTATTTTAATAATTTTTTAAATTTAGACTATAATTCAAATTATTTATCCGATTGTTTTTTTGCTAGATTTTCAATAAACCATATATAGTGATTTCATTTTTTTTTATTTTGCATTTATATAGTAAATGCCAAAAAGCTGAAAAAAAATATTTCTTGCAGCTATTTTTTTAAAAAATAAAAAATTTGATTTTTGGAAATATTATTTTTTGCATTTAAACAAAAATAATTATTCCGAAAAGATGAAACAATAAAAAAAAAGTTGATTCAAGGCAACATCAATACTGTGGTTAAGTCTAGGATACTCACATAGAAAATTGTGTATACTATATAGGAAAAAAGAATTCTAGCCGTAGATTTTGTATAGGTTTATTTATGATAGTTGATTTTGAAAATATTAAAATAACAAAATGTAAAAATTTAGACGTGTCACATTTTAATAGATGAAAAATAAATTATCAATACTATAATAATATCATTAGTCATAATAAAAAAATTTATTCCTAGTATGAAATGATAGTTAGCTAATGTTATCATTTATTATAGTCGACTTATCAAATTTTCAAGAGAAGTGTGGAGAATTGCGGGTTGGATGATTCTGTTGTGCACGATCGGCCCCCTTATATTGAGGTACGTAATGAGATCCTTATTGGTTTGAATTTTTATAATTGCATAAAATACAAAAGAGATATTTTCTGAAAGAATCCAAATCCTTTCCATTTCCAATTTATCAATTTCAATCAAATTTAGTCATGTACAATATTATATTCTGAATTTAGCAATAAAAACTCAACTAAGTATAACAACACATTATGAAACTTGGCCCAATTTCTGACTCAGATGCCTCCTTACAAAGACCATCCTATTTCCATATGGGTTTGTTCTAAATTCTTTAAAATAATTTGCCAAATGTTATTGTCTAATTACATGAAATGGCATGAAGAAAATTTTATGTCATGAGGCCTGGTGATTATTTATTTCAGTAATGGTATGTTTATGAAGTTTTGTGATACTATCTCTATCATTTAATATTAACGGGATCTATTTATTTGATGGTGAAAACCTTGTCATATCACATGAGATGAAAAACTTGAAAAGAAATCTTAGTTAGTATAATAGTATTGATCAAGCAAGTTCAAATATGATATGGTGATGATTATCCTTCAAGGTTCGTGAAATATCTTTTGCAATAGAATTATTAGTTATGAGTAGTAATGAATTAACTTTGACAACATACTAATCACAACTTTTCATTTGTTTTCCTTGGCCTAGCAAGGATGTTATACTCATTTTTTCATTAGCAATAACCATCTCTAATAACAAGTGGATTTTTTATAATCACCCCCATTATGTAATTATTTCAACCACTGATTTAAAGGAAAAGAAGAAGTTAACCGATTTGTGTCACAGGTTATACATGATATTAATAAGCATGAAGTGAATGAAGATAGCCACACTAAGATGCCTTTGCTCGTATATGTATCTCGTGAGAAAAGACCATTCCACTCTCATCGTTTCAAGGCTGGCGCCCTAAATGCTCTTGTATGCTCTCTCTCTCCCTCTCCCTCTCTTTCTCTCACACACACCCCTATGTTTTACATATATACGATAGGTTTGATTAAAAAACATAATTTGAAATTTATTTACTAAACTATCATTATTTTTATAAAACTGTATATCTGAAATACTACACTAAAATCTTGTTTTAAAAGTACAGTCTCAAAGTTTTTTTTATTGAAAATATGTCATAAAAACAACGATAGTTTAATAAATAAGATTGAAACTACATTACTTTGATAAAAAGGTCACAAAGACACGGTTTTAGGAGAATCGATTGAGATTCCACATTACTGTTGTGATATTTTTGTTGCAGCTTCGAGTTTCCGGAATAATGAGCAATGCCCCCTACATACTAGTCCTAGATTGCGACATGTATTGCAATGACCCTACTTCAGCTCGACAAGCAATGTGTTTCCATCTTGATCCAAAGATGTCTCCTTTACTGTCTTATGTACAGTACCCCCAGATTTTCTACAATGTTAGTAAGAACGATATCTATGATGGCCAATCAAGATCAGCTTACAAGGTGATCAAACTCGAACCAATTGCTACTTCTTGAATTCACACCGCCATTTAAGACAATCCAACTTTCTGGAGGTTCAAGTTTTGATTAATAAGAAAATTGTCGATACTTTGATCCATTTTTTCAGACAAAATATCAAGGTATGGATGGGCTAGGAGGCACAGTGTGTGCAGGCACGGGTTATTATATGAAGAAAAAGACATTATATTGTAGTCCTAATCATGAAGGTATGTTTATTATTTTGAGAACTGATTTATTTGAACATTACCGAATATATTAGTTAACATCGTCGTCTTCATCATCATTGTTTTCTTCTTCGTCTTGGAGGGTTTTATCAGATGAGTTTCTTTGCGAGTCACAAAAGTATTTTGGTTCATCGAACAAGTTCATTGATTCAATAAAGGTTAGTAATGAACAAGATATCAGAGGAAGTGGAATTATATCAGATGAAGTTTTAGAAGAGGCAAGAACTCTAGCTACGTGCACGTTTGAAGAGAACACGAAATGGGGTAAAGAGGCAAGTATATACATTCTATCATACAGTTAATACTAACAGACTGTTTTGCTGCTTGGATGAGGTTTTAATGTCATGCTGTTTATATGTCAGATTGGTTATTCTTATCAATGTCTATTGGAGAGTACATTCACAGGGTATCTTTTGCACTGCAAAGGGTGGCGATCGGTGTATCTTTACCCAAAAAGGCCATGTTTCTTGGGTTGCACCACCATTGACATGAAAGACGCCGCGGTTCAGCTCATGAAATGGTCCTCTGAATTGATCCTAGTTGGTTTCTCAAGGTTTAGCCCCCTAACATATGGGATCTCAAGAATGCCCATTCTCAAAAGCTTGTGCTATGCATATTTCACATATAGCCATCTTTTCTCTGTGGCATGCCTCTTATATGGAACCATTCCTCAGTTGTGTTTTTTGATTGGCATCCCTATGTACCCCAAGGTAAATTCTTTTCCATTTCTCCACCTTTTTTTTTTGTCTTTCTTATGATAGTTTATCATTGGTGATAATTGTGTATGCATTACTATGGGATCTCAATCATATCTCATGGTCTATACTCCTTATGAACCAAAAGGAAAAATACGTAATAAGCACTTAAAGTATGCGCTCCGTGTTACTATATGATCATTATTTTTTCAATGAGTAATACTATTTAAATCTAAAAATTTGACTTAATTTGCTGACATAATGATGTGACTTCAGCAGAACCATTATATTAACACCAAGTTCCAATGTTTGATGGACCCCACAATCAATCTAAAGGTCATAGCGAATTAGGTCAACAAATTAAGTCAATAAATTAAATCCCAATAACATTGCTCTTTTTCAATTGTGTCCCTTCTCAATCAATTGGTGTTTTAATGGTCTGATCCATGATGGGCATTCAAATTGATAATGATAAATATGTGTGGAATTTTGTGTTCGTCCGGGCAGAGGCGCAACTAAGTCCTCCTGAGACTTGGTGGAGGGTTTAACCAACCCAACCGGTGGGTGTTTATTGTTGAGCTAGTCAAATGAAAGAAGTTGTGTTTTTTTACTAATACTTGCGGGTTTTAATGCAACGGTAAGTGTTTCGATCCAACAATTAGTATTAGAACGAGGTCATGGGTTCGAGTCCCATAGTAGTTACCCGGAGGAGAGATTGTTGGCCTAGGTAGAGGTGCAACAAGTCTCCTTGAGACTAGGTGGAGGATTTAATCAACCTGACCCGTGAGCGTTTATTGTTGATCTAGTTAAAAAAAAGAAGTTATGCCTGCACTAACACCTGCAGGCTGTGGTGCAATGGCAAGCGCTTCAATCCAACATTTTGGTCCTTCAAATAAGCATAAAATGTCATTTTGATTTTTGAATTACCAATTTTACCAAAATATGCATTGTAGAGGTGTAATTGATAAAATAAGTAATTGAGGGACGAAAGTGATTTTTTTTTAATGCTTCAGGGACCAGAAAACTATTTGGTCATTAATTGGACCATTTAAACATAAATTACAAAATTTAAGAACTAAAATCACACAATTAGAAAACTGGGGACTAAACTGAGATAGACTGCATGCTTTAAGGGCTACAAATGTATTTAATTGAAACTAAAATCTAGGACTGGGACAGAAATTTATGAAATGATTTTGTTCTACCCCTTGATATGTCTATATTTTGCCAAAGTCAAGCTTGCACAAGAGCTTACCAGACTCCGAATTTCAACATGATTTGATACCAATTGTTGTTTTCAGGTCTCAAACCCATGGTTTGCAGTGTTTGGAACTGTGTATGTATCATCTCTTTTCCAGCATTTGTATGAAGTCCTCTCCAGTGGCGGTTCAATTCGGACATGGTGGAATGAACAGAGAATGTGGATGATAAGAACAGTTACAGCATGCTTGTTTGGATGCCTTGATGCCCTTTTGAAGCGGATCGGCATAGGGAAATCAAGGTTCAGATTGACAAATAAAGCCATTGATCAAGGAAAACTCGAAAAATACGAGAAGGGTAAGTTTGATTTCCAAGGAGCCAAGATGTTCATGATCCCCTTAACATTTTTGGTCATATTGAATATGGTTTGCTTCATCGTCGGATCGAAAAGGATGATTACTGAGGGAAACAGTGAAGACATGTTTGGACAGTTTTTTCTCTCTTCCTTCATTTTAGTTCTCAGTTATCCAATAGTAGAAGGGCTAATACCAAAGAAAAGCAAGTGAAAGCCTTCGAAACCATACTTTTCTTTGCAATGACTTGTGCAATGGAGCTCCTTTTTCCATCGACACATTTCTTATTGTGAGTTGAAGGTTATAAACTTCACTTGAAATTATGTATTCTCAAGTTTCATAAGATATGAATGCGACTGTTTGGCCACTTATAGATGCAAGCCATTTAAGGCAATATCATTGTGAATTTTAAAACAAAGAATTACCTTCTTGAAGTATTATGTATTCGTTGTATAATAATATGCACATCAACTCGATCCTCGAGGCTTGTCGATAGACCATACCATATCATATTTTTAAACGTATAAGTTGTTTTGTGTGAATATTTATTCAACACATCCCATTTATATTTGAGTATAACCAATTTACTGTCGTGTGTAAATGTGTTTTAACACACTAAGAGACAAATTATGACAAGATGCAATATAAGTTTTAAAATTGTAAGGGTACTATCTACGTTCTTGGAAAACCTAAAGGGGTGAGTAAAATTTACCCCTTTTTTTTCTTCATTTCTTCGTTAAACAAGAATTTTTTAGCATTTTATTAGTTTTTAGGGTGTGCCGTACATGACTACCTATCTAGGTCATTGCAAAAAAGANAGGGGGGACAGAAAAGTGAAAAAGTATCACTATGCTTAGTAGAGTGCAATTGACTAGTAAGTTACCAGTAATTAAAAATGAAAAAAAAAAAAGAGACACTATGAATTGTTAAGAAGTGGGCAAAATAGTAATTGTCTTTCAAACTCCAAAACCTCGTATCTTGTCGACTTTCCTCTTAAAATTTGTCATTCAACCTTAAATATTTCTCACACAAATATACTTTCTCTTTCAAAGAGCATCTCCAATGACAAAATGCATTTTACCTACTCAAAAAATAACATTTTCTATTTTAGTTACTCACTTTTTTAATACACACTCTAACAAATTTTTTATATTTTTAACTACTTATTTTAAATATTATTTCTCATCCATTTTGTATTATTTTTTTTTAGAATAGTGAAAGGGAGAAAGCGAGAAAATGGAATGAAGGAGAGGAAAAGAGAGAAAATAATATAAATTATCTTTACAAGTTGCTACAGTGATACTCTATATTTAGAATTTCACTGTAATAAAAATTTATTTTATAATATGTGAACATGATTTGTTGGAGCATAATTTTTGACTTTGATTAATCAAATTTTAATTATTTTATTTATTTAAAGCATCTGTTAGAGAAACTCTAATCATTGTCGGACAAAAAAGGACGAAGAATTTGGTGTCCTCGTAATAAAATATCCATATTGTCCCTCAACCACGTATAATCATTAATAACTTTCCATCTTTATTTGTCCTTTTATGTTTTTATATCTACGCCTCTTTCCCCATATGTCATTCTTTTGAAGGTACGTATGCACACGAATGTCATGTGCAAGTATCTCTAATAATGGAGAAGGCCCTCTAGTAGGCAAAACCCTGGAGTTCAAACCCGGATCCAAAGTCTTAATAGGTCGGGTCGTCCACGACAACTCTTTATCCATCAAACATGTCAGCATTTCCACCCAACACCTCTCAATCCAATACACTAAACAATCGGGGGAAGTTAAAAAAAGAGAATCTAAGAATCCGGGTAAATGAGTTATCACTGAACTCAGGTCGTCAAACGGCACCGTTTTGAACAATGGTATCAGGTGTTAATAAGAATAAATCGGGGAAGTCACTTCGGTCAATGTGAAGATTGGATTTGGAGTGATTGAAAGTGATAATGGTAAAAATTAGGTGCGAAGAAACCCAAGAAGCCGAGTTGCAGTGGATACCGTAGGAGTGTTGTAGAGGATCGAAGGCGTAGAGGTGATGTAAAGGCTAACATGAAAATAGCGAATTGGGCATAGAGTTTGGAATAGAATTGGGGGACAATGTGGTGGAGAAAAAAGAAATTGTGAGGCCGGCCCAAAAAACTAGGGTTTTGAAAAATGAGGTTGGAAAGAGTGAAACTGAGGTTGACATTTTAGAAGAAATGGAGAATGTGCGTTCAGTTGTGGTGAAAAATTGTCGACAAGTGAGGACTAGGGATTCAAAGAATAAGGTTGAAAGGGGTGAAATTGAGGTTGAAATGTTGAAGAAATGGACAATGTGGGTCTAAGTGAGGTGAAATTAGGAGTGAAATTTAGAGTTAAAAAAGAGAAAATCAGACAATTAAGGTATGGTTGATTCGAAATTGGGGTGGAGTTCAAAGAAGCAAGGAGATATGGTTTTAACTGAGGATGGAAAGGTAGGAGAGGGAAAAAAAGCAAAGCAGATTCTATGGAATAAGCTTTTTGACGTGGTTGAAGTTGATGGGTTGGTAAGATAAGGGAGTCTGGGGATTGAATTTGGGTGAAGAAGACTGTGAGGGAAGGATAGTGGTTTTGTGGGTAGGAGGTACCCGATATGGTGAACATGACAATAGGGTAATATCAATCAACCAGTTTGGTGGGTTTGTCTCTCAGTACCCTAAGGTCCATGTGCACTCTTTACAACCAAGTCCAATTTTTTGTGAACTGAGAAATGGATACTACTAGATTGCCTAAAAAAGTGAGACCAAAAAAGAGGAACCGAATGATAGAGTGCTGACATCGTGGTACTTTAATTTCTACTTTTTTTCATTTAAAATTTAAAAAGTTTTGTTCTCTATGTCAACACCATATTTGTTGGTCATTTTTCTGTTTCAACTTTTGGGTCATCCCCCGAGAAATATCTGCTCAAGCTTGTCTAGGCTCAAACATTCAAAGGTCGACCTAGATGGAATGAACCAAGTATGATACAATGAAAATCTTCAAATATACAAATACATGCAATTTAGGTCAATCTTGGTACATCCAATTCTGTGATTGTGATTCAATATCCACTCCAGCTACCAAAAGTATGGAAATTCCAGTTCATCTAGTTAATAGACACACAAAAAGAAGAAACAATACAAACACAAGTGAAGACGGAAAGACAAAGAGACACCATTGAGAATAGCATAACTCAGAGGCACTACTCACCAGAGAGATCTAACTTCAGAAACTCCACTTCCATCTCCAGTTCAGAGTTCTTCTTCTTCTCACTTTCCAGCTCCATTCTCAAGTTTGCAATTATTTGCATCAATTGCTCTTCTCTGCTCAACTCTACCCACTCTTTCCCTTGTAACAAAGCTATCAAATCCATCACCTTTTGCCTCTGATCTTCCAAACTTGTCTTCAAAAACAATAGACTCCTCATCATCCCTTCCCTATCCCCTCCACCACCCCGAAGGGCAGCAGTTGGAACAACGGTGATCTCATCTTCACCTACCAAACAACCCTCTTTGTGTTGCTCATTTTCCAAATCCTCCCTCCCTTGGCCAACAACTAGGGTGCCACCCACTGCTTCTTCAGGTGAACTCGAATTCCATACATCTGAGTCGCCTCCCTTGTCTGGAATAATCATTTCATCGCCAAAGCAAACTTGTTTCACAATTTTATCATCCTCTCTCTCAATNCTTCAGGTGAACTCGAATTCCATACATCTGAGTCGCCTCCCTTGTCTGGAATAATCATTTCATCGCCAAAGCAAACTTGTTTCACAATTTTATCATCCTCTCTCTCAATTGGAAATACAGGGTGTAATTCAAAATCATGAATGTTAAAGTTCCACCCACTAATCCTCCTTTGTTTCATATTGTCTCCCAAAAATAACCCTTCTTCATCTTCATCTTCATCATCAGTTTTGTTCATTGATGCAAGTCGTTGAAGCTTTGTTCCTCTGAACCTTTGTTCTACAGTGGGCAAATCTTGCAATACATTCTTGACCAAAAAATCAGAACCTTTACAATTCTTGAAAAATGAATGCTTGAGCAATTTATTTGCTGAAGGCCTCTTGGATGGATCTTGATCAAGACATAGTCCCACCATGTCCTTGAAAGCCTTGGAATACTTCTTATTCTTGCTATTTTTGGTCTTCTCGTAATCAGAAAATCGAAAATGCTTAGTGAACTTCATGATCAAAGACTTTGAAGGTGGAAGGTGGGATAGAGGTGGCCTTCCATGGGCTAGTTCTAGTGCAGTGATGCCAAAAGACCATATATCAGCCTTGAAACTGTATCCAGTATGAGAGTGAATCACCTCCGGAGCCATCCAATATGGTGTTCCGGCAATATCAGTGAGCATCAAAGATGATGAAGATGAAGAGGCTGCCAATCCATGGCATGAACTTGACTCGTAAATCGAAGCTGATACACCAAAGTCTGCAAGCTTCACTGTACCACTTGAGTCTATGAGAATGTTACCAGCTTTAACATCTCTATGAAGGTGGCCTTGATCATGAAGATATGACAAAGCACTTAGAATTTCTTTGAGAACTATGGCAATGCATGGCTCAGACAAGCCATCAGGGAAAGATGAAGCAATTATGGACTGTAGAGAACCAGCGGACATGAATGGCATTACCACCCAAAGACGACGATCAACCATGAAAGAACAATGGGCCTTGAGAATATTGGGATGAGAGAGAAGGGACATGGTCTTGGCTTCACGTCGAACATTGTCCAAATCAGCTCGAGATTGATCTAAATCAATGGCTTTGATTGCCACTACAGAAGAGTTGATGGGTGGACATATTGCTTTGTAAACAATGGCACTTACACCTTGGCCGATCTCATCAAGAATTTTGTAGCAGTTTGAGTCTAGAGGGTATTGAACCTTTCTTGGTTCTTCTTCTTCATGGGCCATGGATGTATCTGTTTCTTGAGAAGGGAACTTTTTTGGGTATCTAATTGGTTTTCTTCAAGAAGATGAAAGAACAAGTGGATATAAAAGGAAAAGGGTTACTCGGTTTTCTTGTGAAAATTAAAAGAGAAAGCTATAGGAGAGCAGGCCGCAGCGGTGATGTCCATATCACTCCCTCTAAGAATGAGTTGATGCATGTGAGTTTCAACTTTCAACTGCTTATATGTATATATATATATATAGAGAGAGAGAGAGAGAGAGATGACGGTTATGTTTTGGAGCACTAAATTAT